ACCTCCACAAGTTTATGTTTATGTGGTTTTTTGTTCCTCGAACACTTGGGCCACCCGATCACTGGTTTGCGGTTTGCGCGCTTTGGATTGGCCCCCCCCCGCGTCCTCCGAATCAAAGCCGCGCACGGACGGTCATTCCTGCATGGGGTCACTCTTGCGTGTAGCCGTGTAGCCGATCTCGAGGTCATCCGGGATAAGAGCCGGGGGCTCCTGAAGGCAGCCGCCGCCCGCCGCTGGGGCAAGAGGGTCTGGCGGGGCTAGGACGAGGACAAATCCGTTCCAGAGCGATCGGGGGTGGACAGAACCCCCACCCTGACACGTCGATTAGTGAATTGTCCGTTTTCGGTTCGGGCGCCGCGGTCGCCATTTTCCAGGTTTGCGGCCGCCAGGTTTGGGCGGCCGCCATTTTCCAGGCTTGCGGCCTCCAGGTTTGGGCCCGAGGTTGTTTTCACTCAGCCACGCTTTACCGAAGGTGGTTCTGTCCATCCCCGAATCGATCCAAACCGCTCTCGGATCGTTCCGGAACGCTCTGATTACGCTCTGAGAAGGCCGCGGCGCCCGAGACTTGGGGGCGCCGCGTCCTGGGGGGGCGATGAATGGGGGGGCAGCGAGGGCTGCAGAAAAGGGGCCCTTTAGGGCCCCAAAGGGAGCCTTTTGAGTCCGAAAATGACACCTTCTCCCCTCCCACTCATCGCCCCCCATTACTTTTTGCCCAAGAGACATCTTCCAGAGCCGCCGGATCTCAGAGATTCTAGATCCGTAAGGGCTTCGCCCCCTGCCGCCGGCCCCCTCTCTCGGAGAATGCGCTATGCAAGAGCGATGTCATGAGGCCTGGGCGCTGTCGTGAAGCAGTATCGGAACTTCATGCGAGGCCGACTCGTAATGAGCAAAACCAATAGATGACCAGAGGGGGGTTACCACACCTGGCGATTGGTAAGACGTCGTGACCCTGCCGATCTGCGTGAGGGGTGCCACCGTTTTTTTTTTTTTTTTTTTTTTTGTTTTTTTTTTTTTTTTTGTTTTTTTTTTGTTGTTTGTTGTTGTTTTTTTGTTGTTGTTTTTCTTTTATATATATATATATATATACATATATATATATATATATATATATATATATATATATATATATATATATAGCAAGTCCCTAATATTTCTGGATCATGACCCTACGGATCCGCGTGAGGGGTGCCACCGAATTTCAGAAATATTCAGAATCCCATAGGTTTTCGGACCCTGACCCCGCCGATCTGCGTGAGGGGTGCCATCGAATTTCAGAAATGTGGCAAATCCCACGTGTTTTTAGACTCTGCCCCCGCCGATCTGCGTGAGGGGTGCCACATAATTTCAGACATATGGCAAATCCCATGTGTTTTTTGACCCTGCCCTCGCCGATCTGCGTGAGGGGTGCCACCGAATTTCAGAAATGTGGCAAATCCCTTGTGCCTTTGGACCCTGACCCCGCCGATCTGCGTGAGGGGTGCCAGCAAATTTCAGAAATGTGGCAAATCCCTTGTGGTTTTGGACTCTGCCCTCGCCGATCTGCGTGAGGGGTGCCAGCAAATTTAAGAAATGCGGCGAATCCCATGTGTTTTTTGCACCCCGACCCCGCCGATCTGCGTGAGGCGTGCCAGCAAATTTAAGAAATGTAGCAAATCCCATGTGTTTTTGGACCCTGACCCCGCCTATCCGAGTGAGGGGTGTGCACGCTCACGCTCAGGGCGTGCTAAACCTGCCCGTTTGGGCCTCCCCCACCTCGCGCGGTCCATCAACAAGGAACAGTAAGCAGCAGGAAGCAGAATTGTAACAGTGGAAACTGGAAGCTGCAAGTGGCACAGGAAACTGCGAACCTTCGCCCCACAGCCTGGTGGCCCCACAAGGGGGGCCGGCGGATTTGCCCCCTCCCGACTTTAGATCCTCGTCCTGGCTTCGTCTCAGATGGGGGTGCAGGACAGGCGGAACGCGGGGCGACGTGGAAGGAGGAGCGGGGAGGGATGGAGGGAGGGAGGGCGGGAGGGTGGGAAGGAGTCGGGCCGTGCCAGAAGGGGGCTGTCACCACTGCAGCGGTCACCAGATCCTCCTGGACGTCGATGTTCCCAGGAGAACGAAAAATTGCATAAACATAGCAACTCGGAGGTCCGCGCGGATGTCTCGGATCCGCGCTGTACCCCCCTCCATGGCGCGCGGAGCGCGCCAGGGGCGGCGCCGGAGGCGCCGCAAGTGAGCCCCAGCGCCGATCCGAGAGATCCGCGCGGACTTCTGAGTTATTCTGTTCATGTCACTGTTCGCTCCCCTTAGTTCCAGGAGCGAGAAGCTGCAGCTCGAGGAGGTGTTCGAGACGTCCGGGGTCTTGTGCGTCGGGGCTCCGGAGAGCACTGGGGGGCCCTCGCGTCTCCAAGACGCCGCGTCTCCTCGAGGAAGGGGCGGCCCCCTGGTGGTTTGCCCCCTCGGCGTTGCCCCAAGGAGTGTCGGGGGTGGACAGAGCCTCCACGCTGACACGTCGATTTGTGGATTGCCCGTTTTCGGTTCTCGAGAGGGCGCCGCGGCCGTCATTCTCCAGGCTTGCGGCCGCCGGGTTTGGGCCCGAGGTCGCTTTCACTAAACCACGTTTTGCGAAAGGGGGTTCTGTCCATCCCCGAGAGGAGCGAGGGTGGGAAGGCATGGGGGGGTAAGGAGGGCAGACGAGCCACGACTTGCCGCACGGGGCAGGCCACCCAAATGAGGTCGAAGTAGACAGGGGTCGGTGGATCGCGCTGCATCGCCGATGCATCGGCCACGCGGCTCGATGTGGAGCCCGATGTTCTCCACGCCGACGTCGCCGATGCATCGGCGATGCGGTGCGATCCTTCGACCCTATCGACTCGAACCCTACTTGGGCGGAGTAGGGAGGTGGCAGCGAGCACGCGATTACGACGATGACGCTGACGACGACGATGACAGCGCACCCCAGGGCGCGTTAGGAGATGATAATACATATGTAAATGTATATATATATGTATATATATATACATATATATATATATATATACTGCGAACTTAGAGCGAGTACCAGCAGCACGAGTTACAGTTGCAGCACGAGTTATATAGGCAGTTGTGTGATTATGTATGCACAAGTGCGTCTGCGTATAGATATGTGTATCGAGGTGCATATATGTCGGCGGTGCCCGGTGCGGAGCGAGACCCCCCCGCCCGGAATCGCTCGCCCTGGGGGTTTTGTGCTGGCCGCACCGCTGATGCAGGCCGGTACGAACCCCCCCGGGATGCACGAACCCCCCCGGGGCCGGGACGCCCCGGTACGAACCACCCCGGGACGCCCCGCCGGTGCGCCCCCGTACGAGACCCCCCGCGGACGCCCCGCCGGTGCGCCAGAGCGCGGGGCAGCGCCGGGGCAGCGCGTGCGAGCGTCCAGCGGCGGAGTCGGCGGCGGCGCCTGCGACAGCGGCATCGGCGACGGCGGCGTCGGCGACGGCGACGGAGGCCCCCGCAGCCCCAGAAGCTTCCCGGAAGTAGGGGGCTGGACGTTCTCGGAGCTTCCCGGAAGTAGGGGGCCGGCTTTCCGCAATCCCCCGGAGGTCTCCTCGGGGCTCCCCACCGCTCGTCCAACTCCTCCCCACTCCGTCGCACTCCTCGGCAATCCTCACCGCTCCTCCCGACTCTTCCCCACTCCATCGCAGTCTTCGGCCCTCCTTGGCAGTCTTCCCGCCTCTTCCCCACTCCATCGCAATCCTCAGCACTACCTCCCGCTCTTCCAAGCTCCTCCCCACTCCATCGCACTCCGCGGCTCTCCTCCCAGCCTCGTCGGCCCTCCTCGGCACTCGTCCCGACTCGCACTCGTCACCGCGACAACGACGACGACGACGCCGACGACGGCGACGATTACGAGCACGACGATGGCGAGGGCGAGGACAACGACGGCGACGGCGACGACGACATCCAGAGACCTCCGGAGGCCCCCAGAATCCCTGGAGATTTCTTGGGACCCCCCCCCCTTCTCCGATTATCCCCCACTCCGTCGCACTCCTCGGCGCTCTCCACCACTCCTCCCGACTCCTCCCCGCTCCATCGCACTCTTCGGCCCTCCTCGGCACTCATCCTGACTCCTCCCCACTCCATCGCTCTACTGGGCACTCCTCCCGGCCCCTCTCGACTCGCCCCCACTTCATCGCACTCCGCGGCTCCCCCCAACCCTTCTGAACTCCCCCCCCCGCGACCGCGACGACGACGACGACGACGACGGCGACGGCGACGGCGACGACGACGACGACGGGGGCGACGACGACGACGACCACCACCGCGACGACGACGACGACGACGACGACGACGCCGACGACGACGACGACGACGACGACGACGACGACGACGACGACGACGACGACGACCGCGAGGACGACGACGACGACGACGACGACGAAGGCGAAGGCGAAGGCGAAGGCGCGGGCCGGCCAGCCGGCGAGCGCGGAGCACCGCGCGCCCTGTGCACGAAACGGCTGGGCCGTCGGCGTCGTCGCTGTCGTCGTCGTGGCGACGAAGAGCAGGGGGGGGGGCAAACAATAAGCGGACGAGGGAAGGGAGAGAACGGGAAGGGAGGATACGCGGGGGGAGTTTTGCGCCGTGCGCGGTCGGGCAATTCGACCCAGGAGCCGAACATATACGAAATGCACACGTAAGCCTGCCCTGCCAAATGCGCGCTGTCTCTTGGGAAGGATCTGATAACGGCTGCGCGCAGCCATCCCAAGTGCAGCGCGTGCGCGGGCCAGAACATACACATCGCCGGTCAGAGGCCGAACGCACGCCCACCCCGCGAGCGGGGCAGCCAGGCTTCGGGCACGGCGACGACACCCAACTGCCGACACCTGCACCGGCCAACCACCCAACCCGCCGACCGACCAGCCAGCCGAACATACGACAAAGAAAAGGGGCCGGCGGCAGATGGCGAAGCCCCGGGCATCTTCGCTGCACGAAGCTTAGTCTTGTCTGCCCTCGGCGCTTTCCACGCCCTCGTGCCGCCAGGCAGCGGGCGCCTGGTCTGGGACGGGAAGACGGCCTTCTCGCCAGAGAGCTTCTTGAGCGCCCTCAGCGAACCAGCTGATTGAAAACCTTGCCGCTGCAACTCCCGAGTGACCTTCGCCTTCCCACCGCTGTTCGGGCCAGTCATGCCTGCCGCGGTCGACCGCCTGCTTGCCCTTCAGACGGAGCCTCTTGGCAGCGGGCGCGCTCCC